CAGCGATGTTACCATTGGCTGGCAGATGGGCCACTTTACTCAGCAGATGAACCAGTTGATTTAAATGCCCATCTCTTATCCAGCCTGCATAGGACTGGAAAAAAACTGTGAAACCAGTGTGAGCTGAAGAACTGCACTAAGTTTACTGGTGAGATCTAGGATCCTGCCTGGGATCTACTTAGGGACTGGTTCCTTTAAGCATACCATAAATGCTGCTGGCAGCTTTTATGATTGCAGCCTAGAAGTTTAGAACTTGGGGGCGGAAAGGGTTTGCTTTATTTGACTGGTTTTATAGCTTTTGTTCTAAGAAAAACCCAAGCCCACACATCCTCTGCCTGCTTTGAGCAGTTCCCAGCCCTCAGAAAGGCCAAGGGGTGGAACGCAAACGGGACTGGCTACAGGGTGAGCCGACAAACTTGCTGTTCTCTTTGTTTGCCTTGTTTCAGACCAAGGTTGGTGGGACAAGCCACACAGGCGGCAGTTTTGAAGAAGTTCTCAGCTCTACAGCCCATGCCAGCGCTCAGAGCTCGCTTGCTGGCACCCGCCTCCCCGAGAGCGAGGAAGAGCTTCAGTGTTAGGCTGCAGCCCCTCCTGAGCTTCACAGACCTCTCTTCAGAGACTTACCCAGCCAGCGATGTTTAGACCTCCCTCGCCACCCAGCTTGTGCAACAAGGTTTTGTCAGCTTTGGAAAACTGCCTCCCTGGCCTTGTGCTGGAGAAATGTTTCCTCTCTCTGTTTGTCTTTTGGATGGGCCCTTTTATTGTCAGGTGCTTTGTACACCATAGACACCACATGCAAGGCATTGACTTACAGAGCTCTAAATTCTATGTTAAGTGACCAAAAGAGTTTTCATTTTTGCGTAACTCCCCTCCAACAAGCTCCCAGCCTCTGTTTCTTATTTCTTTCAGTTTACTGTTTTCTATCTGTTGGTTTCCAACTCCCCTCTCAGTGCCACATCAGACAGATGGACCTAGAGCTGTGCAGAGATTTCTACTGCCAGCAATAGTCCCTATACCAGCTGTCTACCAGCCATACCAGGTGCCCTCTGCTCAGGAGTGTCTGTACATGATCTATTTCCTAATGGCATTAAGTCACTTATTGTCACAAAAAGTTTTTTCTCCTTCACTGTTACGGTCTGGCATTGCCCTCCACTCATTAGTCAGAATAGTTAAGGAAGAGACACCCCGTTATTCATACAGAAACTGAACTGATCACAGCTGCTGATTTAAGATGATCATTTCAGTTTAAAAATATGTTCCATTGCTGGCTTGCTGTGGTTTGATGAGACTTGACGGTATAGCTTAACTACAACAGGAAGTGGACCAGAGGGAACTTACTTCTAATAATTTTGCCTCCGTATCTTCCCCTCAAAAATAAGGGAAGGTAAACTTACGAGCCTCAATCAAGATACAGCCTTAAGTGAAAGAATACAAAACCGACAATTGGCTTAAGATGCGCCATAGGTTAGAGAGCCCATGCCTTCAGCCCGCGTTTCAGAGCTGCTACCATAAACCCCATTATCTTACACAGGATGAGTAGGTACTTCACTTTCGGTGTCGAATTTTGTTGTGCTTCCCTCCAGGACATAAGTCAGTCCACCAACTACATTCTCTCTATCTGTCTATCTGTCTGCTTCATCATCAAGAGCCAGTCACCTCTCAGCTTTGCTTCAGCATGTTTTCTTGCATCCTTTTTAACATTTTTTTCTAAGAAAAGAGCAGCACGCTTGTGACACTATCTTGCTGTCTAGTGAGCATGTGTCAGTCTGCATGTTGCATTACTCAGTTTGCCAGACGGAGATGAGCACAACTTTATCAATGAAAGTACAGGAAAGTCTGGCTACTTCCAAAATGGATGCATTTTTTGAGCATAAGCCAAAGCTTCAAATCGGTGTTAGTGAGTTTAACATTACAGACTGCTTAAAATCTCGTGAGGAAACTTGGCTTTAAGTGATTTTTTCCTATGTGGCTTTTGTTATAGTTTTTACGAAGTTGGAAGTCCTTTCATAATGTTCTACTGGACAGAAGTTAACTTTGGACATTTATATCAAATGCCTCTTTAGTGTGATTTTAGCATGGAAGCAAATTTAATTAGGTTTTTTTTAGTACAGTTTTCTTGTGACGGTTTGGTAAGCTTATTTTGTGGTTTTGTGCATAACCATGAATTTATTTAAATAAAGAAGATATTAATGGACACCTTAGTTTGTGTAAATGAAGCTATTGATATTCTTATTAAAAATAAATTTCTCTCTCACTCTTTTACGCTTGGTGATGTTTTCTTTTTAACTCTGTGTATTTACCACTATTACTGTGCATCTCTAAGTCTTGCTATGTCACAGCAGAGTAGCAAGGTAAACTGCAAGAACGTAATCTGCCATTCCTAGTTTTTAAAATCTCTTCAGTTCCTTCTGGACCTGAAATTCCCCATGGAAAGCTGCGGTCAAAGTTTTGAAAATTTTCCGATTCAAAGGGGAAAAAAAATTGAACCAAGTTCAGTAAAACAGAAATGCGTGGCAGAAAACGCCTTCTAGGTGACTTGACCTTCTTTTGAGCGGGGCCAGCAGCCAAACCAAGGTTAAAACATGGAGTCCAAGCACTGTCATCTTCTACGGGACGCTGACTTGGACCTAGTTTTATTCAGGGATTTATGTATGTGTATGCACATACACTTAGAAAAATGCTTCTGGGAAAGCAGTCAATTGCTTTTAACTACATTCATTAAGAGCACAGTTTAAAGCGCCCGTGCGAGTACGACTTCGTGGAGGTAGGCTGGCCAGACAAGCTTCTCTTCCATAGAAATCCTTACATGTTATTGTCATTACAGCAGCTGCCACTATGTGTAGGCTCAATGATGATAGGAATAGGTCAGGAGAACGGCGTGGGAGGAGGCGCTTCCCTCTCGCAGGCTGCGTGTCCAGGGCCTAGCACACTTTGCCGCCACGCCAGCAGTGCACTTCAGCGCGGCATTAGGAAGCCCGAAGCCCCGCAGGCCGTTTGCTAACCTTGCTATCAGCCTGTCATCACGGCTCACGCTTTCCGATCGCATTTGCTCTTCCAGTCTCTTTCCAGCCAATTCCTATTTCTATCAAAACGGACACGCAGTTGCACCTGCAGCACATAGAAGGGAACGTCATTTTTACACAAAGTACCTGCTGGGTTTCCTTAAACACAACTGAAGCCCACACAACGCGTGCCCAAACCACGCCTCTGTCCCCCAGGACAGCATTTCCCTTTCCTGCACCATTGCACTGCCGACTGGGGTTCAGCGGCTCCATCCCCCGGACTGCCAGCCAGCAAAGCCTCCCACTGCGTTGGAGGAACCGGCTGTTCCCGCCGGGGTAGCGCTTGCGCTGCCTTTCTACCAAACCATCTCTTTAAGGCCGCTTTTCTTGTTTGTGATGAATGTTCTCGGTTCTCTTCCAATGCATCTGTAGCTCTCCCGTGCTTGGCATTCAGTACAAACTAATAGAGAGGATGGTTTGTACACATCAGAGTGGAATAAAAATGCTGAAGAACGATGGGCCCTGGACTATCTCAGCGGGCCCCACTCCATCACCCTTGCAGTACGACCACCAGCCACCCGTAACCACCCATCAGTTTCCCATTGCTCAGTAAAGCGCAGCTTGTGCCCCCAGGGTCTCCGTAGGGCAGAGCTGCTGCCTTCAGGGGTTCCCCGAGCAGAGCAGAAATCCCACGCCTTGCCCAGACCAATACTCTGCGGGTTGCACGCACCGCGCCGGCAGGAGCCCACAGCAGCTCTGCACAGCGCTCTCTGCCCCTGCCAAAGGCAGCAGCTTTGGTCAGGCCCCCGAGGTTTGCGTAAATGAGACATTTCCCGGAGTCATGGTGCTGGGAGGCATGTGCTCAGCTGGATTACCTACCTTGTGAGGGGATGACGACAGCACTCAGTTGTATGCTGCCTCCCTCATTGGACGTGAGGCTGAAGACAGAGAAGCTAGTGCCAGGTGCACGTCATTTTTCCAGCTGCAAACTTTCATTATGTGGCAGTTGTGACACCGCCCCCGTCTCCAGCCGCACACACGACGCAGCGGTCAGTCATGAGGGCTGGCCTCATTATGGCACTTACCACCACTACGGCTTTACCGGACGACCACGCTGTGCTTTCACATCCACGCTTACCTCCGCTAGAAACTGCCATTTACAGCAGCAGCAGTACGGGCCTGCAACAGCGTTAACAAGGGACGCACAGGCTCCATTAGCAGGACGTACAGGACGTGCATTAGACTGCACAAGCTCCAGAGGTCCCTCCCAACCTCAGCGACCCTGTGATTACCCATTACCCACGCAAGAGTCTGTAAAATTGCCAGTCCAGGGCGAGGGGGATTTGGGAATACTGGCCTTATGGGAAATCTCAGCACTGCTCCCCAATACAACGCGTGAGCTGTGGAAAAATTGCATGAAACAATAAACATATGAGAAAATGTAATTAATGAGATTACCGGTTTTATCTACTGTCACTTCTTAAGGCTTACGCACTCCCAAAGAAATCTCATCTCTGGCTCCGTCGAGAGCTTCCAGAGAAATGCACTCATTGGCCTCGCTTCTGTGTAGCGCAGTGAACAGATATTAACCCATTTGATATAGAAGGTACTTAAATCCATACGTACTTGGAAGTCACAGGACAAGACCACCTGTCCCAGTCAGTGCATTACACAAACAGATGAGATTGCAGCCAGCTGATTTTTAAACTTACCTGAACTTCGCCAGTGAAGAAGCTATTTGTAGCTGAGACTGCATCAATCAGAGGCTGATTAAACAAAGAAAGAACCCAAACAAACTAAATATTTGGTCCTTGACCCAGCCTCCGATCTGGGAGGTCACTATTCTACCTGCTCCTATCTAAGTGGTCCTGGGATTCTCGGCAGTGAATGCACAGAAAAAAAAAATCTGCCAGCAGAATCAGTGATGTGATGGGAGGAAAAATAATGCACAGAATATAAAACCGAGTATTTATTACAGATACAGCATTTAGGAACACTTCAGGAATGTGGATGAGATGTAGCAGCTATTTTTTTATTCCTTTCTGTGTTAATCAGAGATACAAGCTGGAGTACTTCTGGGTGAGTAAACTTCCCTGGAAAGCAAAAGAAAGGGGAAGTTAACTAAAAATACTCTCATTTTCCTGCGTGTGAAAGGTTGGCAGTGTCAGGTTAGCAATAATGGTGTTTATTTTGAACCTAAAGCAACAAGTTATCCTTTTAAGAGATACTCCCATTTAACTCCAACTATGGAATAATTGTAAGAGTAGTTACAGCTATTTTTCCCCCCAAAATATTTCACGCTCTATTGAGACACTTAAAAGCTAAAGACCAGGACAATCCCATGCTATGCATCCAGCTACAGGAAACCACCCCAATTACAGGTGCATGTAGGGTATATGGTCTAGGCTCTACTGAGACACTAGCTTAGTCTAAGTTACCGAGTTCTAGTCGGAAGGCAAAGATGTCAACTAAAAAATGAAGCATTCCGGCTATGCTGATATCAGCCTTTTTTTCCTTCTTCCCTAAACAAATTATTACATTTTTCAGAGAGCTCATTATTTCCCTGAGGAATCACGAAAGTATAAACAGGACTCTTCAGAGAGCACGTCTGGTGATTGCTGTTCATCTGTCCCTATTTCTTCCCAGGACGGGATGACTTGGAGTCACGGTCCTCTCCTGATGTTCAACTCCCTTGCTAAAGTAATAAAGTTTTACCTATTTTTCCTTTCCATTATCAGTTTATTTTGGAAAGGATGAAAAGCAGTGGATAGAATAAGAAGTAATACAATTGTACCTAAAAGATTCCACTGAGCTGGTTCTCACATGTACCTTGGGCAGGTCACACTAGAGCACAGCTCACGCAGGGATAACAAATTCTGCTTCACTGGCTCACGAAACACAAACGAAGTAGAAACAAGCTGCTGTCAGAGCATCAGTGAAGAATGAAGCCTCCTTTATACCCCCTCTGATGGTACGGGGAGATCCTTAAACACATGCAAGCATAATGAAAGCCGGGCCTCTTTCTAGGTGCCCAAAGTGATGTAAAGGGAGCTTGGCGTAGATGAGATTCAGGTTCAATACATGCGAATAAGTGTAAGGTATGTTCACACTGCAGTAAGTTTCCCCAAAAATATTTAGGGTACTTGAGCGATGAGTAAAGTAACTAGTTCTCACTTGCTCTGAAGGTATAACAGAAAAAAAAAAAAAAGGCAATTTATATATTTCATTTACCAAAAGAAAAAAAAAAAAAAAAGCCCAAATGTCATACCAGCAGTTGAATCGTAGAAATCCTGCAGCCTGCCAGGTGCGTTTTCCAACTCTTCATACTCAAATGCTTGCAGTATCATCTCACACTGATCCAACTGTTTTACAAACTTGGCTTCCGCAGTACTCTGGTGTTCATATTCCTGAACAGATTTGCAAGTTACAAGAAAAAAAATTGTGTTGTTCTGAAATGGGAGTATTAGACGCTCTTTATATATGTCGAGTTTTCTTCATTAGTACAAGCCACTCCATAAATATTCACAAGAGTTACATCTTTCACTCTCTTTTTAAGACTGCTATTCAGCAAAACACTTGAAATAATTACATGCTGAATTGCTGTTAAATGTAATAGGACTTGAGAAGACAATTCTCTTGCATACTCTAACTTAAAAACATACCAAGTGTTTTGGCTGAATCGGGAATGATACAGACACAACCCTACGTGATATACAAGTTGAATATAGATTCCTTTTAACAACATTTTACATAAAAAGATCTTTTCAGGCCTGGCTAAGGCTACAAAAAGCCACTTTACCACAGCGTGTGCCTATACATTACCTAGTTTTAAGACCTATTTTGCACTTTTCTCCACCACTTGCTGTTTTTATACAGAACTGTTCTTTACATTTCTCCTGCCACTCCTTCTTAAATCTCTTTGGTCTAATCTGTCTGAGCTGCTTATGTCTTTATGCCTCTCCTAGGAGATAGGGAGGGGAGTCATTAAGGGGTTTCCTCCCCTTTAATCTCTCTGCTATCTTTTCCCTCTCTCCAGCCATGGTCAGCATATATTTGTAAGTCATTCGCATTTCTAGTCAACTTGAATAATTTTGCTGTCATCTGCTTCCAGTGACGGTTGCAGAAGGGTTTGCCATTTCATTTTCTCTTTTCTAAATCTACTGCATCATATGTGATGTCTCAGCAGCTGGTCTTCTCCTGACTTTCAAACTCAACCACAGAAAGAGGCTGCTTTCTATGCAGGTTACCGTCAGCTTGATACCCTCAGCAGGTCTGACCCCATTCATCATCACCACCACCACCAATCAGACCAGAGGTGTAAGTACACACCGGGCCTGTCTGTGCTTTCAGATCCACACAATCCACAAAGCACAGCAGTTCTGCAGATGAGAGCAGCACAAGTGCAGGAAGAGCCTTTTCTACTGACCAAAGAACACGGCGCTTCTTTCTGCCATCTTAAGGCAGCAACCATGGCAAGATCCTGGGTTGCAATTCCAGCACAGTGATGCCCAGATAGGCATCATGGTCATTTCCTTGTCTGACACACTATTAGGAGCCTGTTTGTTCTTACGCTTATTGCTTTACCTTTGAAACTCAGAAATACAGATTTTGATAGCCACGACTGATTCGTATACTACTCCATTTGGGTTTGAACGATGCTCTGAATTCTCAATTATACTTTGATCATTATTTTAGTAATCAATTTTTTGTCAACATTTTCACCTTCTATTCCTCCTTTCAATCTGAGCTTTGCCTCATCTTTAAATTGTTTAAATACTACTACTTATTTTCTTAAATCTGTTACTACTATTTTTTTTTTTTGGCCACCAAAGAGAACAAACTCTTGGCAGCATTACAAAGGAGAACTTCAGGAGAAGGAGAACTATGGCCGTTTGCTTGTAAAGGCCTGTCCCACCTCCAGCAATTAATTGGGAGTATCAATCTGTTACCAACCTCTTTGTGCCACACAACCCACCAGATCTTATTCATACCTCAGCTCACATTAACCTCAAGAAACAGCAGCTATTATATGTGCAACTGTGCACAGTGCTGAAACAAACACTTGCTGTTTCCTCCCCGCAGGTGTTCAAGAGTGCGAAATAACAGCATACTTTGGAAAAACAGTAACTGGTCTCTCAAACACCACAGTCTGACTCCTGTCTTTCTGCTCTTGAAAAGCAGGACAGAGCTGAAGCGTGCTGACTCCTTTACTTAAAACTTTTTTCAAACATATTCTGGATTAAGTTATGAAGTGAAAATATATCGGAAGCACCTTTCTGCTGCCCTTCTCGCCTACACTACACTTGCAGAGCGCCCACCAATACAGACCAAAGCAACAGCCCCTGTAAGGCTGAAGGGAAAGGGGCAGAGACAAGGGCAGAGCCGTGTGGGAAGGACTTGCTAGGAGCATCAACAGACCCTGCCCCAGCCATGGTTCAGCTCTGGGCCACAACTTCCTTCACTCACAAAGAAGAATCAGAAGGAAACAACTCTGGCTAGCTGAGAGCAGAGTACCATACCGAGGGATCAGAGGCTTCTTATTTTATGCTTTTTTTTTTTTTTCTTTTTAAGAAGCACCTAGTTGTTCCACTTAAAATAAGACTAGAGGGACTACATGTGAATATTAGATTTTTAGGTTACACTTGCTGCCATGTGGGTTACGCGCACACTGCTGCATTGGAGACTCAATGCCAATAAATTATCCTGAAGGTAGAAAACAAAGAACAAAAGATCAAAAGTGTGCATATGTTAAATTGTGGTTAATGAGAATGATAAAAAGTAACATTCTGAAGAACGAACTGCATATTGAACCAGCTCTTATACAATCATAAGAGAAGACTGAGGCAAAGAAAAAGAATATATGCCAAAAAAAAAAAAAAGTCCTACAGAACTATTCCTATCTGTCAAAAACTCCTTTTCCTCAATTCTAACAGCTTTCCAAGGGGCAAGGAACCAATGCTCACTAAACAAATGCATACACATTATTTCCCAGACCTGGTTATGTTGGTTTACCCCCTTTATCTTTAATTATAACACTGAAAACCCATCCCCATTGCCAGTTTCACCACACAACTACAGCAAGAAAAAAAAAAAGCTCCAAACAGAGTGCTGTAACAGAAGGCAGAAATTGGCTCCAAATATCTGGAATTTAAATACAGTTGAAGTATAGAAGTAAGAGTATCAGCACAAAATACAGTTTCAGGTCACAGAGAAACATGTAATGCTTTGTTTGCAACAGCATGTGAACAAGAGATTGTGGATGCACTTGTCCTCATGCGACTGTATGCCAGGAGAAGATAAAGCACTGTAATTATAAACTTGAATTGTTTGGAAATAATCTAAACATCCCTAGTTTGCCAGTATAAAAGATCTTATCAATTAACAGCATGAGTTCACATCAAGAAGTTAAATCACCTTCAAATACTTTCCAATACAAACATTTAAGGCATCCAAGACCAGACAGCACTCTTGTGTTGTTTGTAGAAAAGCACTGTTCTGTGACAGTACACCACGTTTAAGTTTAAGCCAGAAGTTACTACTAAATTTTTTAGCCTAATGGGCTGTATAATAAAGAAATTGAAGCCACCTAAGTTATTACTTGCATAAGAAGCAGAAAACGCTCCACGGCATGATCAGCTCCCATTATTTCTTCCCGTATTAAAAGATCATGAGCTGCATATGGCAGCAGAGATAATGTAGTAAAAAACCAGATTTCTACCCAAGAGGGCTGGATGGGCACAAGCCCTTCCTTCGGCTGTACAAACCAAGCCCTGGACAGGTTCAACTGAAACTTTGAGAGGCCAAAGGCAGAAGCTGGTTATTTTACCAAAGTTTGGGATTTCTGTTTGAAAAGGATTCCAAAATGACCTTGACTCATACCGTTAGCTTTATTTCCCAAGCAAATGAATCTACCTTGCTTGAGGTCAAAATAAGAGATGACACAGTTTCATAAGTAAACAGGAAGAGGATAATAGGCCACTCTGAATTTTAGCAAAGGATGAAAGGAATGCAAGCTTACTTCCCAGAGTTCATAGATTTCTTTTCTGAGGTCCTCTGATAGAAGCTGGGTCAGTTGTTGCATAGCTGCCTGAAAAAGAAGCCATTTCCATTTATCAATTTTTTGAGCAAGCACATTTCCATCATTATCTTTTTTGAAGAATTAACTGCTTGGTACCAAGTTTACTGAAACTTATACTACACAGTATATTATTCTAAAGTGCACATGTAGATACATCTGCCAGAGAAACAGTAGGACCACTCAGTGAAGAATCTTTTTGGGGGAGCTTAGAGAACTAGTCTAAAACACCAGAAAAATAACCTGAAAGTGCATCCAGTATCTTCAAGAGTCCAAAAAGAAGCCCAGAGCAGAACATGCAAGTCAAATGCCAGGGAACAGCCATCAATTACCAGCTCTGCCTTCCAGATTTAACTAGTGGATGCAACATTTGAACTTAATAGCTTACAGGTGGTTCATAAAAGCAGCTTCAAAACAGTAACTGTGTTGCAACTGTTGACTTGTAAAGTGTTGACAAGCAACTGCCCCCTCCCAACCTAGCAGGTTTCCACTAGCAGGGCTGAGAACAGCTACTGACTGTCAGGGAAGTAACACAATAGAAGTCTTTAAAAATCTCCAATTTTGAAAAACAGAGGAAAAAAAATATCTATTTAATGCCCTGCAGCAATAAAACACAGTGCTCCCAGGCTGAGATACCATTTGTTCAACAACAAAAATTTTGGTACAAGGTTTAATGCAATATCAAACTGATGGCAGAACCAGCAAGCAGACATTGTTCTGCATGGTCTTCACTCTCCCAGCTGGTCAGTCTCATTTCTGTGCTATTTCTACCATTTTCCTATTAACACTAAGGGCTGCTTCCGAAACAATACAGATCACAGGTAAGACAAAGGTTTTGTTCCATCATTGTTTCTCCACTTCAAATACAGGGTACAGTTTCACAATATGGCTGAACTGAACCAGCTGCTCCCCATCACTGAAGCATCAAGGTCTCATTTCTCCCCACCTCCTTACAGCTCTGGGGCTCATCAGGTTTCAAAGTGACTTACCTAGAAAAAAAAGCCACCCAAACAACCCCAAACAAAAAATCCAAAATTGTTTGGGTTTGTTTTTTTTTTAAATCAAGTTGATTTTCTGCTGCCTTAGCCTTGGTGAGATTAGCTGATTAAACTCACTGCACAAGCAGCGAACCTCAGAACCACCTCAACGTCAGCTGTAGAGCAAAGGGAAAAAAAAAAGGAGAACTCTGCAGCAACAGCAGTGTATTGGTAATTCAGCTCAAGCCACCTCATGAAGCTGTTACCCTTGGTGTATTTTTACAACAAAGGACTTCAGAGTCAGCCTAAATGTTTAATGCTTGCCCCTCCTTCCCACAAAGTCAGGAGCAAAGTCCTCATCGAGTGAAATGGGAGCAGAAGGAGCTGCAAAGAAACATCCTCAGGCATCAAAATATCTTTTTCATTGTGCAAATACAAATGAGAATTCCCTCTAGGGAAAGTTGAAGCCTGATCCTCAGTGACAAAACAACCTTTGGAGACTTCCAGGAAAGAGGGGTTTGGGTTTTGGTTTTTGTTACATTTGGGGGTGGGGGGATTTTTTTTTTTTTTTTTAAGCGTAAGAACACACTAGGAAGTACACTGAAAAAGAATACCAAAATTGCAGTCAATAACGATAATACTTTGAGAATGCTGAGTACCCCTTTGATCTTTAATTTCCACTTTCTTAGCAAAGAGCTTACTCCCAGAGTTAGTCATAGCCCCCCCAGCCCCAAGTTTTAAACAGGTAAGCATAAAAGCATGTGTGGGGCGGAAATAATCACTGTAACCTTTTTTTTTTTTTTTTTACACTCTTTGAAGAGCTAATTGTAGCCTCTGAAGAGTTCCCGAGGCATCACGTTGCCCTCTAGCTGTGGCTGGAGGAGTGGTTTACATTTTCTTCAAATAATACAACAAAGCAGAAATGACAAACCAACAGTTTGGATATGTACAAGGCCAATAACTCTAGGCACGCTGTACTCAAAGACCCATGACAAAAAAAAAATAAAATAAGACACCTGTGGCTGGAGACCTGTGCAAACGGTTTAAACAAAGTCTCTGTCACAACCTCTGCATGAGGGCTACAAAAGTGATCTGAGGGCTGGAGCACCTCTCCTATGAGGACAGGCTGAGAGAGCTGGGGTTGTTCAGCCTGGAGAAGAGAAGGCTGCGGGGAGACCTGATTACGGCCTTTCAGTACTTAAAGGGGGCCTATAGGAAAGATGGGGAAAATCTTTTTAGCAGGGCCTGATGTGACAGGACAAGGGGTAATGGTTTTAAACTAAAACAGGGTAGGGTAGGTTTAGACTGGATACAAAGAAGAAATTCTTTACAATGAGGGTGGTGAAACACTGGAACGGGTTTCCCAGAGAGGTAGTGGAGGCCCCATCCCTGGAAGCATTCAAGGCCAGGTTGGACGGGGCTCCGAGCAACCTGATCTAGTTAGCGGTGTCCCTGCTCCTGCAGGGGGGTTGGACTAGATGACTTCTAGGGGTCCTTTCCAACCCAAAACATTCTATGATTCTATGACCTGGCACCAGACAAATGATCTGCCATGAATGGTCATCCACCTTCTCAGTGCACCTACTCCCTGTACCCCACCGCTTGGTAAGGCTGGTCAACATGACTAGTTCAGGCAACCAAAAATCCAGTCAGTTCAGGAATAAATAGCCAACGTGAAGATTACTTCAAAGGTTCTCCTTCCATAACTTTGCACTTGGTGACATTACACATAAAAAAAAAAAAAAATCACAAGTTGAAAACTTTGGTTGTTTGTGGCATACTTATCCAACACTAAAGACAGTATTACATTGCTTCCCTACCACCAGAACATTAAAAGAACACTTTGCAGATGCAGCTTCATGCCTTACGTCCATACCTCTTCTCTCCTGTGTTTCTCCTCTTTTGAGATATTATCTGCAGGAGCAATATCTCCAACAATGCATTCAGCCATATCGTGAACCAAAGCTAATCGTATGCATCTGACAAGGAGCAAAGACAGAAAAATTAGGTTTTGAGCATTTTAAGTTATACCTTGTTATTCATAAAGCTAAAAGACTGCATAATTTATCCCCTTCATGTATTTTACAGGGTTGTTGGGTTTTTTTTAATTTACATAATACTTTTCACTTCTTCACTAAGGGAAGTAGTTTCCACTTAGACATGATTTTAATTCCTGACTTCTAGCAGCTGCTGCTTGTAAATGTAAATTCAAGTATAAATACAGTTTGTACAAGAGCACAGCATTCAACAGTAATGTACTTCGCTTATGTATGCTCGGCTTTCAGACATGTTGTGGTAACTAACTGCATTGTACACTTCACATCAATGCTGCAACAGGTAGAAGGTAATCTGACTGGAGCCATCCCAAATTCAATATATAATCTGACACTCACAGCTCTGTCAGTCTGCAGCAGAATACTCAAAAAAGCCTTCACTATTTTCATCAGCTTCCCAAGGGATAAAACAAGCATGATCCCATACTACACTTGACAGCTCACTCATCACTAATACTTTCTCTTTTATGCTATGTAATTTCTGAGGCTCCTTACTGCTGCTGAGTGCTAACTAAGTCTGTCAAAATCCACAAAGTATATGGCTTTGCCCTTGCTGTCCGTTGTTTCAAACTGCATTTTAACCGAGCATCTTCAGCCTGCTTACTTTGGCTTGAGAGAAGGCCAGCTCAGAGCCTCTGCATTAACAACTTGCCTCAGCACCTGGCGTTGAGCAACAGAAGTCTTTAGCCCCTTTCAGCTCTCCAGGTAAACAGCACCCCATCCAAAGGATGGAGGGAAGAGGGGAAAGGATTTCAAACTCCTTCAGGGTGTTTTAAAAGCTCCTCCGCAGGATGGCAGAGATTTTAATTGTTTTGGTTGCAGCTCTCCCACGACCTTAACAGATGGTGACGATAACCAGAGGCAGCCTTACCTATCCTTGTTAAGGCTCTTGTCTTCGGTCACCAAAGCCATCATCGCCATCCTGTACATATGATCGGATACGCTCTCTGGCTTCGCCACGTTCCTGTACACCCATCCCGTCCGAGGTACTCTCTGCGCGAGGAGAGAGTCACAGCAAGGTACACGTTAACACCTGAGGTTCTGAAGGACCTCGCTTCAAAGGTGCCAGCAGAAATTTTGCCCCACCATGACCTCCACGTTCCGGGGAAACACCCGCCCCACGGACC